TGGTGGCCCGGAGGCCTTTCTAGTTTCACCAGGACAGGTGGGCGAACAAAGGCTCAGCCAGGAGGGGTGGGATTTGCTAACAGCTGCTCAAGCACCTCTAAAGGAGACCTGACAACTGAAGAGCAGCTGCTTCGCGAATGAATGTACTACCAGATCGGAATCGCGACCCGCTGAGAAGATCCGGCGAAAAACTCAGCGGGCTAATGCATGGGTACAAACGATCGGCTAGAGCAGTGTTTCCTTACGTATGACCCACGCCCCACAAGGGGGCAATTTGATAGGTAAGGGGGAACAATCACACTAAATTAATATTTTATAGAAAATCTGTATTAAAATTAATTTGATGTTGAATTTCAGTTTTTTTATTATATCTTTTGAAATATTACTTGCTGCGTTTTGATAAAAATTTCATAGTGATTTCTTCTTAAAACCAATCATTTATGTTTCTTATGTGAAAAAATCAATATTTTAATGTTAAAAATTGTGTACGGGGGCGCATAAAAATTTTAGAAATGTTACAGTGGGGCATGGCGAAAAAAAGGCTTGGGAAACACTGGTCTAGAGTCTGCTGAGATAATTGTATACTGCAAAAACTATTCAGAGACAATTTATGATATCTCTATGTTTGGTAGTATACCTGTTCGACAATCAACTTCATCATGAGCGTGAGCCGCCTGCTATCGCACTGATCGACCGCATTCGTTACAAACACTCCGCCTAGCATGTTGTATCTGAAACACCAGTGTGCTTAGTTTTTAACGTTCTCGATAACGTAAAAGTTAATTCAAATTTGTATGGAGTTGGAACGTTTGCCTATGTTTGCCGCTAGGGACACTGTTCCAGCTGCATACAAATATGAGCTAGATTTTACGCTATCTAGGACGTTAAAAAACTCGCACTAAGCACACAGAACTGCATTTTATATTACAGATATTTACAGCGATTCCCTAAGAATTCGTCATCAATTGCTCTGTTTATTATACAGAAGATATCAGAGCGACATGTCGACCAGAAATAACTCATGGTGTAATTTATGATGATTTGCGATTGTAAATGAAGAGCACAAGGAAAGAACGATCAGTCTACTTAAAACTACATTTGAGTCAGAAGCGCCATCTAGTTTTCAAGATGCTAAGCTTGCCTGTTCCGCAATTTGAAAAGGTTTTAGATGTTCTAAATCCCGAAAAAATACCTTTATTACCTTTTATTTTTTGCATAAAAGCTATAAGTGGTAAAAGTCTAACCGATAAAAGTTAAAAACGATCAGAATTCTAAGACTATGATGGTTATTTTATGTTTTTGGACGAATTAACTAAACGTCAAGATAACAGTCCGTTAATTTTCTTTTTGCTCGATTTTGTTGATCTTCTGACAATGTTCCAGTATTTACATGATGGCAACACCTGAATTACGTATTATATAAATATAATAATATACATGTAACGTAATTAAAAGTCATTTACACACAAAGTACACATAAAGGTGAATGCATTTACATAATTTCAATATTATAAGAGATGCATTCAATTACTGCCATTACCTGTCTATGTTCAATGATAGTCCTACAGAGCAAACTCCAATCGCACGTGGAAGCTGACACGCATAATATTTTATCTAGCTCTAAGGTAGACTAAAATACATACACATTAGCCATGTACATGTGGTGTCCGGGCGGCGAACAAACTTTGTAATAACGATCTAAATTGTAATGTTTTAGGAAATACAAACAGCTGGTCACATCCCACATGTACATATTTATCATTTCGGTTTCCCGCCATTGTCTGTGTTGCCAGCTGTTGTACGTGCAGCCGTCGTTTGTGTGCATATTGGAATTGTAATACGGCATCATTAATAGTTGACATCTGTAATGATAGAATTTTTGTTAGATGGCACTGAATTTTCAAGTTTTTTAATATCGAAAATGTCTTTTCATAAGAAAGGTAACTTGGCTTATTAGTTTTTATAAATTTTTATGTAAAATAAAATAAATTTCCCAACCTGTCTATTATGAGAAAATCTATTGCTGCACAAAAAAAGTGTCCCAAATGAAGATCAAATTCTAAGTAGAATAAAGTATTAAATTTAATGAAATTATAAATTGTAATAAGAATTTACCTAATACAGAATAGGGAGACGACGATTCATAGGAAAAGCTTTTTGAGAGTTTTGTGATCAATCTAAAACGTGCAAATGAACAATAGCATTGGCGACGACAGAACCAATTTCTTGCTATTTCACATTCCTTACCTGAATCCTAGTTCAACTCAGATATACCTACGGTAGCATAAAAACCGAACACTCCTATTATAGCAGAATTTGATCTACATTGGGAGTTTACAACACAGCTAAAAGGATACTTCGGCGAGGCACAAAATATTGTTTTTGCATATTACCCTCTAGCGATGACTATCTAATAGACGAAATCTAGCGGATGCATGGATCGCGCTAAGGACGTAAAAGATAATCCTACGATACTTGCAACATCGGTCTAAACACCCGCTTGCTAGATCTTCCCTTTGTCTTTGCATATTACGTGTCAGATTATATGTTCCCGTTTAAGAAAATAAAGCTATTCTAACCTGTAATTCAATCTATCTTTATACTCGGCTGTGATTTTCATGAGTTTCGCGAACAATTTAATCTCTCTTCCCACGTCGGCGTGGTACACATTGTCGTACCCCTCCCTATAAGGCCACAGCAAGAAGCACTCGGCGTTCATACGCTGTGACATTTCTAGACATCGCTTTATCTGCGTCGCTGCGTGTGCAAATGTTGCCGCGTCATTGCTAGTGAAGGCGCCTGACGCGTATCTGCAATTGTAAATTATTTAAAATTAACAACTTATTATCATAAGGATTGTTTCATCAATCATGCGGGCCAGCGTTATTTACGCTATTGCCCAACTTCGCTTTTTTTTAAATCGTATCAACGAAAACGTGTGTACTTTTGAATTCAGTGTGCTTAGTGCGAGTTTTTTAACGTTCTCGATAACGTAAAAGTTAACCCAATTTTGTATGCAGTTGGAACAGGGCTCCTAGCGGCAAATGTAGGCAAACGATCCCATTCCATACAAATATGAGCTAACTTTTACGCTATCGAAAACGTTAAAAACTCGCATTAAGAACACAGGTCGTATTAAATTAAATCATTAATATAGATATAATGCTCCAAAATATTTAAAATGTCAATGTGTGTCGGTAATGACAGTTCGATTTCGAGTAATAAAATCGAGTTGCATTCACCTGGGATGCGAGTGCAAATCAGGAGCTATCCATAATAACTTGACATGACTCCTCTGCGAACATTCCTGCACACATTCCACCATTTCATCAAAATACGTTTTGTTTTCTTCAATATTATCAGAGTGTGGTATCAAATCTGAATCGAAAGCCGTCCAGTATTTAATGCCGGTTTTAACGCAGAAATCGAATAGGGCCTTCACGCATCGTTTGTGGTTTTCAACGGAATCCGTGTTGTCGTCCCACTGGCGGGAGAGTGTCGGCCGACCGTGCGCATCCGACCCTGATGAGGGTAGTTTGAAAACTGTTAATTTTTGACACTTTGTTTCGTTAATTATCTACTTTGCTTATAAACTGTGTTTCTTCAATCATTTTTTTTAATTTTAAGCAAATGATACTCAATCATATCCTTCTGAGAGAACGCAACTCTTAAGACCAGTTTAAGCTTTATTATAAAATAAAAATTTCCATTGTCAAAAGCATACCGTTATTTCTAAATTCAGAAAAGGACACGCTGTATTTAAGCCACTCCTCCATGGTTTTGGAATGTATTCTCTCCGCGCTGTTGTAGTATCTGTAGCTTGCAGTGTCAGACGCAGCCGCCATATTGTTATACTGTATTTTGTCTATAGCTAAACAAGAACATTAATGAGTATGTTATTAAAATTCCAGTTTTTCTACAATTTCAAAATCCTAAATGTTGATCTACCGGTTTCTGTCGCTAATATAATTATACTGACCGCCCTTCATGGGCCGTGAATCCACACGGATTGGTCCCAAGGTGCTCCCAGCAATATGCAATAACACTTCAGTCAAAAGTATAATAGCCGCTATTTCAGTGCAAATGAGATCGTACATCCGAAGACGTAAGGCAATTTTATTTTCAATAAGAATACGATGTCAGTAAACTTTTAAAATGTATTTACATACCTTGAAAGTAATCGACATGCTCAGTCCTTAGTTTCTGTCGTTTGGCTCCGGGCTGGCTGTACGATGACATTTTGACGTTTGTCATTCAGATGGCGGGAAACTTCTATTATATAACGTTGTATGAATGGACTCAGCCGACCGCGGATAACCTGCTTTTGTTAGAACACTAACAGGTACAGTCTTTTGTTGTAAAATGTTTTGTCATATTACGAACGTGTTTTCGAATATTTTAATTACTTCGAATATGATACTGTGGAGTCGTTTAAACTCTAAAGATTTGTTTAGTTGTGACATTTAGTTGTTACAATGAATCGCATTGTTACATTTTTTTCATAGGTAACCAAAGCCCATAAGCATCTACTACGTAAATGCCGCCACCCACCTCGAGACACGAGTTGTTAGGTCTCAGTTTTAACAGTACAACGGCTGCCCCACCCTTCAAACCGAAACGCATTACTGCTTCACGGCAGAAATAAGCAGGGTGGTGGTACCTACCCGTGCGGACCCACAAGACGTTCTACCACCAGTAAAAAAGGAATACAAGTGTTACAATTTATTTATATATTTGTTTGCTTATACACCGTGTAATATATATATGTATACACAATATAACCTATAAGGGATTCTATCCCAAAGCCGAAAAGACAGTGAATCAAACGAAAAATATTCTGCATCCTTAAATGTGAAGCTTAGGGCTTCGATGTTATGCCTGAATGTGGAAGATGAGGTCCTGGAATCATGATATTAATGGACCATGACCTTATCACAAATCTGCGTCAGCTACGAGATGCGTTATACTATTATAAGAAGAATAAAACAAAATCCTTTGCTTAAAATTGTTTATTAAAATTAAACTATAAAAAACATCCATATAAATCTAGCTAAGACAACCATCAACAGCACAAGTATAGGGATAGGTATTTTATTTTCCCTTTTCAAACCATAGACACCGGAAAGCTCTCCTTTCTTCAAAGGCACCGTCAAGCCCGCCATCTTAGGTTTGTCTATGGGCTGACCCATCATAGAGAATTTACTGGCGCTCGTAATCTTCACTGTAACTAATTTCCCCATGTACTTCTCCTCCTTAGGTATCAGTACTTGCTCGTAGAACTCGTTGTGGCCGACAAAGTAGTTCTTGTCGTGTGAGACGTCGGTCACCAGCACCTCCTGCGTCTCCCCCACCTTGTGACCGTAAGGTTCGTACGACCTGAAGAAGTCCGACAGTAATTTTGTGCGTTTTTTTACTTCTTGACCAGGCACCTGCAAATTTACTTACGTTTTATACTCAACTGTGGCTTTACCAAAAGAACCTGGATTAATACAATTCAATTTTATCAATTTCAAATGAGACTTTTTGGCGGGAACACGAGGAGTGATGTTGTGTGATTTGTTTTATTTTGTCTATTTAATGTTTCTTCAGGTTTAAATGTGTAATAACGGTGGTTTATTAACTGTTTTATATCTGTGAAAGTGCACAATTGTGGGAAAATGAAACAAAGCCGCTGGACGTAACTTCTCGGGATCCTCCAAAAAGTCCACTGAAAAATCTCAGTAAATGACCACCATTTTACTGAGATTAAATTTCATCCCATATCATCTCATCTCATTTAATTTCATCCCAGTTGATTAATGTCTCAAATTAATCATCTTCATTTCATTTCACTCCATAATGTTATTTTTCATAAAAATAAGAATATAACTTAAAATAAGACATGACCTAAAAAGGTCTTAGTTACCAGGTCATAAAATCCATTAAAAATTTTTCAAATGACATTTCCGACTTTGAAATGTGCTCCCCTCCACGGTGTTTCCCGAGCGCTATGACATGTCCTTCTTCAAACGAGGCTTGTTGAAAGTATTAAGCGGTAGGCAGCGGCTTGGCTCTGGCCCTGGCATTGCTGAAGTCCGTGGGCGATGGTAACAACTCACCATCAGGTGGGCCGTATGCTCGTCTGCCTACATGGGCAATCGAGCAACGGTCGTCGATTCAACTTACACAACGAACCTACGAATCATCTGGTGGTTCATGAAGCAGAGACTGGTACAAGCAACTCTTATTGATTGTGGCTGGTGACCATGTCCTCAGCTGATATCACTTCCCGTCTCAAGATCTACGGCAGCATCCAGTTTGTGAGGTCGGATTTCGTGAACCGAAGTTTGACCATAATCGGGAGTCAGCACGCTAGTTCACGGCACAGTGCGGAGACTTCCTTCGTCCTTCTTAAGGAGGAGTCTCCTTCCTAATCAGATCCCTCAAATATTAGAAGGTTTGTATGTAACATCATTTACAATTTGGGTTAACTTGACAGCGACATCTATCTTCATTAGCTTTATACATTTTGATAGCACCATTTCATTTGTCTTAGTACTATTTTTGTCAGGTTTATCACGTTAATCAAATCTGATCTGATCTGCTTTGCTGATTTAACCCCTTGGCCATGTAGGTCATCGGTGCCCTCCCTACGCGGCGCACAGAATATTTAGTAGACTCTGCGAAAGGCGAATCCCAAGATACTGAGAATGAATCTATTTTTAAGAGACCTAATAGACTAAAACATAGATTAAAAAATAATAGAAGGAAAAGAGTTAGGCAACCCAGGCGTCTTAGTAACAGAAAACGACATAATAACTTCAGTGGGCCGTGTAGGGCACCCTGGACCTACATGGCAGTCAAAGGGTTAATCTGCAACAAGCCAGATGCGTTCCTAAGCAGTAAAAGTTACCCTGGTCATCTTGGCGGCCGGCGTCCCGGGTCTCGGGAAGAACTGGTTGATGAACAACGAGGGGAACTTGTACTTTCTGCAGAGCTGCATGGTCTCCTCAAAGTCGACTTCGGTCTCGGTGGGGAAGCCGCAGATGATATCTGTGGCTATCGTGATGCCGGGAACTCTGTAATGTGTTGGACTATGATGGATTGCTCCGGGATGTATGTTTTTTTTAATTAATCCGATGGATGGATGAGCTCACAGTCCACCTGATGTTAAGTGGTTACTGGAGCCCATAGATATCTACGACGTAAATGCCATTCCCCACCTTATGATATGAGTTCTAAGGTCTCAGTATAGTAAGGCTGCTCCGCCCTTCAAACCGAAAGACATTACTGCTTCACGGCAGAAATAGGCAGGGCGGTGATACCTACCCGTGCGGACTGACAAGAGGTCCTACCACCAGTTAATAAACTAAGAATGTATTGCCACCATCAAAATTAAGACTTGAAGTGATTATATTGACGAGTCGTCGTTGCAAATTTGAAATCTCCTATGTGTATAGATGTAGTTTTCGAGAAAATCTAATTAAACTACCTCCTGAAAAGAAAAAATTGCAAATTTTGTTTTAGCACATGTTTTACAATAAAAAGCAAACCGACACTTAGGATTTTTAAGATTCGACGCGTAATAAAGTGAAAATTTGAGATATTATGCACATGGGAGTTTTTGCTAAGTATAAGTATTCAAAATGACTTTCTTAATATACATATCATATATATCACATATCATATATAACATAGGAGATTTTAAATTAGCAACGACGTTATAGTGTTTGTTAGAACGGCAATCATTTTATGGCAACATTCTAATAACGCCAAGGGATGTTGTTACACTTGCGCCCATGACGAATATACAGGGTGTTGCACTGAACTGTATCGACTTACTCTTTCCTGAGATAGTCGACCACGTGTTCGAAGTCGGCTCGCGTGTATTCCCTCTTCATGTCAGACAGTACCTGGTCACTGGCCGACTGCACAGGGACGTGGAGAAACCTGACCAGACGATTAGAGGTTAACTAGTTTCCAACACCTGCCTTTCGATACATTTTTTTTGGTGCTTAGATGGATAGACGAGCTCACGTCCCACCTGGTGTTTAGTGGTTATTGAAGCCCATGGACATCAACAACGTAAATCCCGCCACCCAACTTGAAACGTGAAATCTAAATCTTAGTTTTACAGTACAACGGCTGCCCCGCCCTTCAAACCGAAACGCATTACTGCTTCACGGCAGAAATAAGCAGGGTAGTGATACCTAACCGTGCGAACTCACAAGTGGTCCTACCACCAATAATTACTGGTGACATACGGTTTTATTAAAATGAAGAGATCACTGGTAGACTGGAGGCCATTCCAGCTTGAGACGAGTTTAACATGTCATATGCAGAGTTACCTGTTATAATCATAGGACTTATATTTCGGCCTCAATTCCAAATATCGTCGGCGGCATTTATGACGTGATGCTTCAGCAAGTTATACAACTACTACAAATAGTCCATGAAGATGCGTTTATTTATAAATATTGATATCTTTTGTTCAATTTGTGGCATCACACGATTTAAATAAATCAGCCAAAGGGTGCTTAGACCGTAGCCTTACTTACTTGTAGACTCTGGGGTGCCTCATGATCCTCGCGACAGCGGGCAGGTGTTCCAGGATGTAGGGAGGGTTGGTCATGCCCAGACGGAGCCTCGTGCCCTCCGGTATCACTGATACTAGCGCATCGAGCAGGGCAGGCAGAGATGTTCCTATGTCACGACCGTAGGTTCCTACGATCATTGGTTTCTCATAATCATTTTCATCCTATTTAAAACACATTCTTACTGGTGGTAGCAAGTTTTGTCCGCACGGGCACATAACACACACATTCTGTTATGCGCTGGGGTTCGGAATAAATAAAAATTCTACCAAAGTATGTACAGATTAAAACTCTGTACTACTGGCATTGCTTGTAGGCCGCGGCTTGGCTCTGCCCCTGGCATTGCTGAAATCCTAGGGCGACGGTAACCACTCACCATCAGGTGGGCCGTGTTCTCGTCTGCCTACAAGGGCAACAAAAAAAATATTTTTTTTTTTTTTAACTTAAAACACTTAACGATCTCTTTAAAATTCTCAATTTTGTTCTTCCGCTTCGCTTCAGGTGATCCGTTCGCTGTTTCGCTTCGAGTAGATCCGATTACTCACTGCCTTCGTGTCATCCCTGTAACGCTTTTATAGTCGATACGATAACCCTACAATTATCGAGAACATTCCTGACAGGTCGAGTAGGTTCGATATGTGTTACCGCTATTTGATAATAGATGGCGTTGTACTTCTCGAGCGTTCTCGGTTTTACTAGTTCTTTTGATATTCGTTTCTGCTGTTCGACGATAGATGGCGTTGCTCTTACCGGCGTAACAATTCCATCAATTTCTGAAGTTTCTTTCTGCTAATACAACTGCAACTTGGTCGATATATCTCAAGGTAATTTTCAATAAAACAAGTGTTACCTGTATCCTCGCTTGTAAGCCATATCTCCACAACTCCCTCGGTGAACGACTGTCGTGCTCTCTCCACGATCTCTTCCGGAGGGTAGCTGCCCAGCTCTCCTCTGGCGTGCTTGGTCTTGCAGTATGTGCACTGATTCAGGCAGCCCGTGTTCACGGCTATGATCTCGACTAAAGGATTCTTTCGCACTTTGGGCAGGAGCAGTGAAGCCCCACCCGCTTTACGGCCGTTTGTTTTCCTTTGACCAAACAGACGGACTGTGTGACCTGGAAACATAAACAGTCTAAAATAGTATTGATAGAATATTTTCTGTCATTTTTAAATGGTACCTTTTTGGTGGTTACTCTTTGAAATAATATTTAATTCATTTAGAATAGTACCAAATGCAAATTTGACTTCTTTTATTAATACAATTTATATAAAATAAATTAATAGGCCTATCCCTTATGCAGCACAAGTATGACACTATCCCTAAGTGAAACAAGTCGTGATATAGACCATTTCAGCATAGCCTTAAAAAATAAGTTAAGCTCACGGGGCTCAAACTTGACGAAGTTGCTAACACTAACCCTAGCAAGAGCAGTGCTTCGCAGAATCTACCGCCGGATCGGAAACGCGACCCACTGAGAAGATCGGACAAGAAACTCAGTGGGCTGTCTGTGGGTTAATCTACTCGCCGAGCCCTTCGTCGTAAGCGACGGGATCAATGAGAACTATGACGAGAGCATACCCCTTTAACGAGGGTAATGGTAACTTTTTGGCTTAAAAGCATTATAATATAAAGCCCCTCAGGTAATGCATGTATGTGCAATATCTTTCCATGGAGAGCTTACTGCCTTCATGTGCATTGAAAATGAAAATAGAATGCATACCTTTCAAAGTCTCCTCCACGACCTCCACTATTCTGTCAATCTGTTGTACACCAACTATACTGAGTCCGTGTAGGTAGCCACTTTTTGGTGCGCCCTGCGGTACACAGCCTGCTACAACAACATGTATGCCGCGACTCTGGCCAAGTTCAATTTCATTCCTGTTTAAAAATAATGTATTTTGATTTAATATTTATGTGTCAGTTTTGATGCATAATTGGAGTTATCTTCCCTCTCTTCTAGTGCGATTATCATTGAAATACAGACAAACAGGGTATTACATGTATGTCTTAACATACTGAAATGGTGTATATTATATCCTTGTATTCATATACTGTATACATTAAAAATACATTAGCTGTGTTTTTTAATAAGTATATACAAAAATATCAGACATTTTAGGATCTTACTTAATTTTTATTTTTTTATTGCTTAGTTGGTTGGACAAGCTCACAGCCCACCTGGTGTTAAGTGGTTACTGTAGCCCATAGACAGTATAGTTACAACGGCTGCCCCACCCTTCAAACCGAAACGGATTACTGCTTCACAGTAGAAATAGGCAGGGTGGTGGTACCTACCCGTGCGGACTCACAAGAGGTGCTACCACCAGTAATTACGCAAATTACAATTTTGCGGGTTATTTACTAGTGTCTTAGATTGGACCAAGCTAACTTGATGCCTAGGCATCAAAATATAATCTCAAACAGAGCAATCACTAGTCAATTCTTTCTTCAAGCATTTACAGGATTTAAAAGACAACTACCAAAGCGGATAGCCTGGCTAGATAGATAATTTTCCATGTGAAATGTAATGTGTGTAAAGTGTAATGAGTACCAGTGAGTGAAAAGTGGTCTATAATAATGTTTTTGTATAACTTTTTCATTTTCTGTTTGTTTGTCAGTATAAGATTAGGTATCAAAAATAAATCTAACTTGAAATGATCCTCAGCCGGGCTCTTTACAGTACATGAATTCAACAACCAAAGTTGCGCATCCCATTTGTCTTCTGTCAATTTGTAGCCATTAGCAGCCAGGAGTCCGGCCATGTACTCTGAATCTGAGTTGTTATGAGCACAGCCCCATGTTTTTACATATATTGTTTGTGTGCCTGAAAATTAAAACTCAATACTGATTAAAAGATTACCATATCATTTCAGGTATAAGATTCAAAATGACCAATTTGTTTTCTTTTTGTTGCTACAATAAATGAATAAGCTCATAGTCCAATAACTGATTATTGGAGATTATGGACTTCACAACGTGAAAGCCACTATCCACATTTAGCCTTGTGGTCTATAAGGTTGATAAGTTTCAAATAATTATGCAAATTAAAATTTTTAGTTTAATTTTTATTAAAAGATGCCTTTGTTTCAATATGTAAGTCACTTGTAACATGAGTTAAGTACATATTTCATTAGAAAAATTGGTACCTGCCTGAAATTCCAAACACTGACATATATGCTTCGCTCTATACAAGTACGACAGCAGTCTTATCCTTTAGGCCATTAGCATTTCAACTGGTTTGTGTGCATATTAAAAAGTGAATAATCTTGACGTTACATTTTATCTTGCATCAATAATAGGTTGTGTGATCAGTTAAAAGCCTAAACAGTCAAGTCAAACAAGTATGTGCTTTAATTATTTGTACAAGCTTATATTAAAAATTGATAATAACTTCCAACAATAAACGCATTTATTGTTATTATACCACATATGAAAATAAGTAATGGTTTAGTATGAAAATAAAATATTTTATACTATTGTTGTTGTACCTAATCAAAAACTATAATTTTAGGTTACCTGGTACAACACTCTCTAATATAACCTTTTCAATCTGTTCGGGGTCTTTTTTCTCCCTCTTTTTAGATCGGACGCTTACATTCTTCCTACTAGCGTAACGTTCTTTAGGAGTTATATCCTGGGAAGATATCAAATCTTCTATGTCGTCTATAATTTCATCACAAACACCTGGCATCCTCAAATTTTGTTTTGTTATTTGAGTTGGATTTAGAGATAGTAAACTATTTTATATAAAATCGATTTTTTTTAAACCCAATCGGTTTGAGAAAATTAATCGTACTAGTGTCTTTTTAAGACCAATAAGTTGAAGTCCCGTCTGCAATTCCAGCTTTATCAGAATGTGAGGCCCAGCCAGGAGGCGGTGGTTTGGTTACAAATGACCAAAGCTTAAGTGCATTACCTAATCAGAATTGCGACTAGTTGAGAAAATCTGAAAAAAAAATCGATGGGTAAATATCACACCTAACTCGAAGACCTGTGCTTTAATTGCTGCTAGATTTAGGACTAGTACAAAAAGAGAGTTAGATGACTGCGTCAAGATATTTCTTGAGTTCCAGACACAGGTCATCTGGAAAATCCCCATTTATTACGAATTGACAACCACATGAGAGAGCATCACACTCCCATGGGTCATGATCGGACAAATTGCAAATTTTAGAGAAGAGCCTGCTGACTATGACTGTTATGATGTAATACGAAACTATTTATTGTAAAATATAACTTTCAAATACTTAGGCTTCCTGCTCCAGAATGTTGACTGGCATGTGAGGTTCCTGCAACTCCAGTTAAAGAGGATTTTTATCGAGCTCCCCCTTTGGTAGACCGCAGACTTAAATGATCTACGATTGGCCTTAGAATTATTGATATTGTTTCAATTGTGTACTGAATCAGTGAATAGAAATATTGATCTTAGCCTTTCCTGCTTGGCCAGATTGATCATGTCTTTTTTGTATTTCACATTTCATACAAGTTGACGAAAATATCGATTTTAGAGAAATCGATTTTCTGGGCTTTGTTTTTGTGATCTGCTTAAAATGACTTCAGCTCTGATGTATTTCAAAATTTATCATTTTGAGTAAAAATTTACACCCCTAGTTCGTTTTGTTCATCAAATCTCCTTCTCAAAGTGAAATGGTTCTGCCATCCCATTTCTTACATTATTTAAAGTATGTACCTTTCGCTCGATGAAGCTGTAAACATTAAACCTCAAGTGCATATACAATCCTATCGATTGTATGGAGTTGCAGTTTGAAAATTTTGTGGCTGAGAACAGAATAGGAAATCACATTGATACCTATTACTCATATATTGCAATAATTATTAAAATGACAAATAGATTCCACTTTAAAGAAAAACAATATTTTAAAACGAACTACTTTAATTCACATTAATAATTACTAAGTACCTACCTCTTTTAATTTACAGAATATGTAAGTATTAAATAATCACTTTTAATTTTTTTTAAATAACCGGTAGGCAGCGGCTTGGCTCTGCCCCTGGCATTGCTGAAGTCCATGGGCGACGGTAACCACTCACCATCAGGTGGGCCGTATGCCCGTCTGCCTACAAAGGAAATAAAAAAAAAAAAAAAAAAAAAAAAAAATAATGAAGGTCAAATTAAAAACTTCTGATAAAATTTGTTCAATTTAACGAAATTCTCGACGCAACATGTAGTTTTTTATGTGAGTGTTAAAATCCAAAAAGTTATGTCACTTTAAAACTACGATCAAACTAAAATTAAGCTAACACTATATGACATAAAAACTAAATTTCATTGTCAAATAGTTATAAAGGGTAGTTTACTACGAACAATAGGTCGTACAGCTGTCATTTATTAGTGGCAAACGCAGGTAAGGCAACAAAAACCGTAGGGTAAGATATTCTTGTCATTTTAGTACAAACCATTTTTGTCAATCGATAACAATGTAACAGTACATTAATTCGTAATTAATAGTAAAGTCGGATCGTATTAAATTATTTATTATCGTTTTAAATTAAACAGTGGATAATAGGACCGAGAAAAGAGTTTGTAAGCAAGCCATTTTCATTCGCAACAGAAAAATTGGTCAAGTGTGTATCACTATACGCACAATAACGGGTTCCGTATTTGGAATGAACCCAAAACGTATATTTTTCGAGTAAACTTATGTCACTGAACATTTCACGGCTCTTTTATGGAAAAAGAAGTGATTTGGAAACCATAATGAAGGCTTATCTAAAGATAGATTTGCTCCTACATACTGTTTTTGTTTTTCTGTCATGCCACTGTTACAATTGTTTAGAGATTGTTAATCACAGACTTCAAGAGGAAGTTGTCGATTCGGATTTCGATTTACAACACCGCCTTATACAGGATCCGAGGCAACCGTTCTCGAGTCACGAATAGTAATGTAATAGTTTGTTTTATACTGATGGTGGTGGTGGTAGGGCGTATTGTGAGCCCACACCATTAGGCTCCACTATACCACGTACCTACTTGTATCACCAAATAATCGTGCTTCCTGGTTTGAAATATGGGGAGCAATTCTTCTTCTCCATATCCTACAGTGGGATTATTTTTTTAATTCGTGCTATCATACGTCTACTCTGTATTCACACCCTTCTCTGGCATATCTTATTTCACATAGTCCATCCAAGGTCGTCCCCTCCTCACTGAATAATACACCATTATATAATACTTGAGTTTTTTTCCTCATCTTTCAAGGTGAGTGGTGGCATTCACATTGAGATATCTGTGCACTCTAGTAACTGCTTATGCGGTGTCCTAAGTGTACTTATTTTTTTGGTACTCTTAAGTATATGTTTCTGGCACCCATAACATAAGAGAAAATCCTAGCATGGAGCTGTTCAAACAAGGAGCACCAGCTTGAATAATAGTTTTTGTTCGTTACGGAACCTTAAATAATACGAATAAAATCAAGAAAATTAAGTAGAAATCTTATAAACTTCGTTCCATATGAGTGCGCCTTTCTCTGAATTACAAAAATGTACTACATTAAATTTTAACAAGCGTGGAAGGAACGTCGAAAATGAATTCGAAATTCAAACAATAGTTTTCGCTGTTCCTCGTCGATGGCGCCAGTAGCGCTGGGGTGCCTGTTGTGAATAGACGTGTGGTAGTGTTAATTTCCTGCGACGTGACGGATCAAACTTTGAACGTGATTTATTTTGTGAACTTTGTGAATGACTATATAATTTTTCGTTCTGTTTGTTTGTGATATCCAAATTCCTTGGTAAGTCCACTACTGATATTTACATTACTATTATTAAATAACAAATGTAAATTACTGGTTTTATTATTATGAAAAACAAAATTTTAATATTGAGTAATGTGCCTTGGAAAATATTTGTAAGTAGTTAATTAGTAAACAATTCGTAACCTGATTCATATGAGCCTATCATTATTTGTAAACTATATCTACATATATACATATTTACCCTCGGTGAATATAAAAAAATGTAAATCAAAATACAATGCACGAACGTAACGCAGTATAGTAAAATAAATACATTATTAGGTATTTATTGAATTAAAATTATTTGATTTATTAAAATCTACCGGCATTACATTATTTAGTTTAATGCGTACGGATTATGTTAGCCCAGGGGTAAGCGACATTATTAATCAATGGGCCAATTTAAATTGTTTTTTTTTTTGCGGGCATAGATTAATTCTTATTAATAATTTACGAAACTTTATTTATAATAAACTAGCGGTTCGCCCTCGCTTCGCTTCGGAAACATTAAAACACACATGAAACCAAAAAAAAAAATAAAAAAAAATGAAAAAAAAAGTAGCCTATGTTCATCAGGGACAATGTCGGCTTCTAATGGAAAAAGAATTTTTTAAATCGGTCCAGTAGTTTCGGAGCCTATTCGAAACAAACAAACAAACAAATCTTTCCTCTTTATAATATTAGTATAGATATTAGAATAAGAAAATATAAAACAAAAAAAAGTAAAGATTTTATATACAAATTTAAAAATAAAAATAAAAACGAACAAAAAAAGAAGAAATTCAATTTTAGAAATGCTTGACGGGCCGGGTGTTGCTTATCCTTGTGTTTAGCCTATTTAATCACACACAATACATTACACTTTGTTCACCTTCAGAGACCAAAAGACGAATTCTTCTTCTCGCTTCGGTTTCCTCGATACTGAGGGTCGTGACCACTTCCTCGCAACAAGAGTTTATTTCGGATCATTCCACGCCATTTGCCTACTACCTCGTGGTCTTCTTCCGTCTACTTTCCATCCAAAGACGACTAACAAGCAGCAAAACTTTGAAATTGCTTAGTGCATCCAGAATTTAGTAGGAAAGGTATAAGTACATAAGTTAGTTAGACTCGGATACTCGCTTCGCATCGGACGGGCATGACGTAGCTTTCCTATAATATAAAAAACAAATCTTGCCCCAAATTTTTTTACTGCTAACAATAATAATGACATTAAGAAACGTTCCACATCACACAATTAGTAAATAATAATTTCCTTAATCATTAAGCCAATTCGGTAATGAATTGAAATACATCATAAATTGTAACTATTTATATTTACTTCCGGTGTTTTACCGATAAAAATCCGTTAAATATATTATTATTAATGGCAGGCAGCTTTTGAACAAAATATTGGAATTTAGATAAGGGCAATAATAGCAACATTATTGTAACATCCATACTTAATATTTTTATTTAATTTTAATAAGCTTAAAGTTTGCATTCCCGTTGTCAGCGCAGAAGAAAACCAAATTAAAAAAAAAGGCGAATCATTTTATTCCTACATTAACGAAAGTGTAGCTGTGATTAAACAAGTATATGATTATAAATTTTAAAGTTTGTTTGGTTTAATTTTTACGCGTATTAAGGAGGAGCATATTCCAAGGGGCAAATATTTGGGCGCGTAGAATAGTTATTACTGATGAGACGTTGTACACTAATATACTTGCTAATCAGTAATTATATTTTTAAAGCTTACCTTAGCACAAGTAGCGATAGCGCATGTGATTACTAATGCAAAAAGAAAATTACTGTATCTGACTCAGATGACAAACGAGGGTGAAGTTGGTTAAAACCGGATTAAATAGCGATAATTTTTATTACAATTTTATTTCTCACGATGGAAGACAAAGTTAGACTCCATTTAGGTGGTTGAAGAAATAAGCCGTGTCTGGCGATGTCAGTCGCTGCCACTATTTAGCTACAAAACAAGAAGAACCCATAAAAATAACAAGATTTAACATTAACATTCAATAGGCTATAAAAATACACAATGAATATTATATTTAAAAAAAAGAGCGTTCATCATCGTCACCCCAATTCTGCCCCATTAAGTAACTAAATAAACAAGTAGGTATATATGTATTTTTTTAAATATAGCCGAACAAGATAGAATTCCAATTAATAACTGAGTTTATCGCGTTCGTATTTCACTGGTTCTTCATATTTAGATTCTTACGTGAAACATCTCAGTAGCGTTCACGCCGCAGTTGCTCAGTAAAGCGAAAACATATATTATTGTCACTGGTGAAGGTTGAGTGGGATCGTCAGTCTACCGTTTTTGACTAATAATAATACATAACAATAAACAGGTGTGTGATCCACGCGCCACGCACGCTTGTCGGCTTGGATATCCGCACATAGCGCGCGGACCCGTGACGCGGCCATTATTAAAAAAACACACATTTGAAGCTTATTTTGGCGCGTAAATGTTTTTATACCGTTCGTGGAGTGAAATTTATTTGGTCACATGAAGCTCGTAAATATAATGAAATAAAGAGTGGGGATGAGGATTTTATTATAAATGAAAACACGGCTTGAATCATTGATTTTATTGAGAGCAAAAATTGTTTTTTGTGTTTCAAAGAAAGTACACCCTTACATACGCATAGTCGTAAGAGGTGTTATTTTATTCGTGATCAAGCTAGAGTGCAAGGTTTTTTTTCTCGAAAAGTGAACTAGGTAATAACGAACGCTTGCGTAAAATTAAAAAAAATCCTTTTGTCTCAACTAATTAGCATTAGTATTTACAATATAATGTTTTTTTGCGCATTGTCTCGAAACATACTACAGGGTGTATATAAAGTTTGTACACGTATAGACCTGGTTAAATTTTTGGGGTGGCATTTCTCCGGCAATGTGAATGCGCCCGTTGAAGGTCGAACTCTCGGGTTTTTTTTAGGATTTTTTATTTATTGCTTAGGTGGGTAGACGAGCTCAAAGCCCACCTGGTGTTAAGTGGTTACCGGAGCCCATAGACATCTACAACGTTAATGCGCCACCCGCCTTGAGGTACAAGTTCTAAGGTCTCAAGTATAGTTGCATTACTGCTTCACGGGAGAAACAGGCAGGGTGGTGATACCTACCCGCGGGACTCACAAGAGGTCCTACCACCAGTAATTACGCAAATTATAATTTTGCGGTTTGATTTTTATTACACGATGTTATTCCTTCACCGTGGAACTAAATCGTGGACATTTGTTGAATACGTATTTCATTAGAAAAATTGGTACCCGCCTGGGATTCGAACACCGGTGCATCGCTCAACACGAATGCACCGGACGTCTTTTTTAGGCCACGACGATTTCAAATCTTGAATCTGGATGTATGTAATTGTTAATACGTATCTGTCGTTCCGGAGGCGAAAATGTTTTGAGTTTGAGATCGTTGCATTTGAAAATTTTTTTAGCAGTATTTTGGCTCCGTATCTTAGGCTAGGCTGACATCTCGGAATGTATACGCTACGATAACCTCAACCTAACTTTAGCTAATGACGGATCGCATTAAACACCCTACGAAGACCATTCATAGTCCATAACCTCATCTACAATCTAAAATAAAACATAATAGATTACGTTGATTAAATGAAATTCTATACTGAAATGTAAACTTCGAGTATTTGAGTGTGCCGCTGCATCAGAAACCTTAAAATACAATGTGAACCGTTTATTGTTTACTATGAATCCCATTCTCACAGCTAACGAAACCCATCAATCACTCGTAACGCGTAACCCAAAGTGTCTTAGTGCAGCATCTATAGTCGATACTTTGGTTGTGTTTTATTATTATAAGGGCTTGTAGGAAGCCTGGTTGTGAATGTTTTTTAAACTAAAGAGAAGATCTGTTACCAAGCCGGTATCATTGCTTGGAAGTTTGACTGTCCAATTTTGGTGGTTTGTATTACAGACGATTTTTTAAATGCTAGGTTTTCGTTTGCTCTTACTATTTTTTTCCTTACCTATTTGCTGATAGCCTAAGCTTCTATTCTAGCTTCCGCGAACAGGTAGATTGTTAACATCGGCCCTAGCAAGAGCAATGCTTCGCAGAATCTATCACCGGATCGGAATCGCGGCCCATTGAGAAGATCCTGCGAGAACCGTGGGGGCTCTGATACTAAAACAAATTATATTTTAAAAAATCAGTTAAGAGCTATTCATAAAATACAATATAAACAAATGGCTTTAATAAAAAAACAATTAGTACTGCAAGGGATTCTGTCACAAAACAGTCAAACGTTCGGTTTTAAAGAATGGTACTCCCTAAATTCAATACTTTGACATGCTGTTCCAAGGTGAGTGACGGCATCCCTGTGGTATTTATGGATTACGATAATGCCGTGGGAGCATCTGCCCAAAGTACATATATTCACCGAAATTATATGGTAGAATATGTAATAGAACAAAAATCATTGCACAGGACTTTGGCATCAATAGAAAATTGTTTTTTTTTTACATTACCATCAAAAGCAGAAAACGATCAGGCCCATCTTCTGAGCACTGGTTTCTATCGTTCACGGACATTACATTTCCATTTTTTAAATGTTACCGAAATGAAAATTGTTATTTTACCACAAAAAAAATATGATATCAAAGTACAAAACTATTAATGCCACCATGAGTGGGGCGAGTCATAAAATATTTACGACGTGTGAATGAGTGGCTATTATTATACACACTTACAGTGGTCGCTTATTGTGCCGTTTATTGATTGTTTTGGTGACTATCTTAAAGTAGAAACACATCTTTACTCCAATGACTGATAACTATGGTGTCAATCTACATTTACCATGGCTGTGGTTTATTTAGGCTTTCTTTTTTAAATAATTAATTACGAGAATTAAGTATTATCCAAAATTATACAAATTGTTGCATTTTCAAACACCGAGCATACACAGTTTACGAATTAAACAAAATGAAATCGAAAATCACAGGTGTAGTCAAAAAGTGTTTCTTCAAAAT